TTTGGTACAAAATTATAAGCATTTATTTTTAGCGAAAGGTCATCTGTTGTAGTATTGACATTTCAGAATATCGACAACATCATTTACTTCGACGACATAGACGATTCCATAACAGTGGAATTCAAGAAAGCGACTGATCGTAGCGAAAACTGCTTCAACGTTTTTTTCGTCGTACCCCATGTTTTAGATGTCAATACTGAAGCAGAGTAAGTCCTACAGCTAATGTGGTTGCCTTGAAATGGTGGTGACTCCATTAATTCCCGTTGCACACTTCCTTTGGTGTTTTTTGACTGCTGAAATGCTATTTTCAGATACTATCTCATCGACCACACTGACACTCTGCTCAATGCCATCAGGGGTAGACTGGTTGTGGATCGTCCGAGATTTCTTATCGTCCTGAAATCGCAATCACTTCAATTCATACAGAAGGTGAATACATCGCCAAGAGTACCCATAAAGAGGACTCCATCTGGCAAGAAAGGATGATCATTCTGTGTCCGTGTCTGCAGTAATGCTGTCATGGATGGACTGCCTTTCAGAGGAAGAGCCTGTGAAGCTCAAAAGCTTCAAGATTTTTAGGAAACTCCAAGTGAAGCAACCTTTATCTTATGCTCTATTTACACGGAATAGTAAGTTACTCAATGACCCGAGTAGTGTTTCACTATTTCAGACAACCAGACTGGAAGCAAACACTATTACGCATCAGCCACAACCGCAAATGCCTCTATCCATTGGGAATGCAGAACTGTGTAAGACTAGCCGTTGTTATAGGAGTTATATTTTCAACAGTTTGGCAACTTTGAGCGTCCACCCTTTTGGCTGCGGCCCACCTCTCGCACTTTCTTTTGTGGTTTAATTCCTCGTAAGTTGATCACCCTTTGACGACTTGTTGCTCACCCTTTCGACGTTGCTCTGAGAACAGAACATTCTACCGTTTGTCTTACTCTACCCTTGAGGACAATTCCCGCGATTAAGTTTTTTGAGGAGTCGTCGTTCACATGTAAACCAGCAGCCCACAACCGACTTTCAAAGAGAGCAAGAAGCGAATAATACATTGTGAACACCTCAAATGAAAGCCCTTCATGACAGTCCCACAGTCTCATTGTACGAGTTCTCCGGACTTAGTGACGGCTCGACACTCTGCAATCTCTGTGCAAACCCTAGCTCGCAAATCATTTCTTCGCATCCCCCAGTACTTTGGCCATCAACCAAGAAAAACGCGAAATAATGAAGCTAGCTTTCAAAACTGTTTCCATGAAGTCAGATTCACGTTAACCTCTGCATGACGAGCTTCTGCACCGAATCGTTGCATCGCTGCTGAATTTGAGCAGCGCCCAAACCCATCTTGCCTTGCAAAGCGGACTGCCATTGGCATATTGTTTTCAAAAACCAACATCCAGGTGAAGCAGGAGAACTCGTGAGCTCGCAAAAGAGTCAACAACTAATACTCTCATCGACAAGCACAGGAAATCGCACTGCGTTCCAGACAACAGAGTGCACAGAGTAATTCCGCGCGTTAGCTGTTGTCTTGCATAGTGAAAACAATAAAAGTTGCAGTAGTCGCGCGTCTGTAGCCTCTTAATCTCACCGTTTCCAATGACGATAGTGGTATATTCTAAGCGGGTGCGGATCCGAATGCAAATGCATGGAGGCGTTTCACGGGTCACTCGGTTGCGGGGACTGTCTCAAAGGCGAATTCCAATCAAAAGGGTGTACCTATACACATATTACCCGGAAAGTAGAAATCCTTAAGTACGCATTGAATTGCGGAGATGGTCTCATCCTTTCCTTTCGACCATCTTAACCGCGTTATTCAGTGGCAGTATACGTTACTGTGTTTAGTGCCATTAATTGTTCGAGTTTCTCATTCAGGCTGCAAACTTCAATGTTCCTCCACCTAACATTCAGATGCAGCTTTTTCCGTCGCCGCAACCCATGCTTTCTTCAACATGTGTAAGTCTCAAAATATGTTGAAGTACGCGATCTCGGTTGTAAGTTATTCCTCATTGAAGATGCCTAATATTGGAACTGTGCCGCCTCCTCCAGGATTTCTACCAAACGTTAGCTGTCCACCACCGGTGAGTTTGTTTTAATGGCTGCAAAAGTCTCATTATTTCAGAATTCTACTTCTGAACATCTTTCACCATTCCGAAGGAGAAAAGAAAAAACTGAGTTTTACCGTTGACACTGCTTATTTTTTTCCAACCCAACCTTGTCTAACCAGGAAAGGTCAACAGGTCAGCCTGGCCATTTGCAATGAGATGCACATCACTGTACTCACCTTGACACGATGAACTCAGAACTGTCTTCAAAATTTGCAGAACGATTCTCTGAGCGGAGTTATGGAGGTTTCTTTACTGTTTTTCTTCTTACGGGCGCGCTGGCGCCGAAGCGTTGGCACATGTAGCGCGACTCACAGCGCTCTTCGCGCAAAACAGGTATCATATTCGTGTTCAGGATCGAACCCCTCAGAGACTCACCTTAGCAAAATCTTGTCAAGATGAGTACAGTGATGTGCATCTCATTGCAAATGGCCAGGCTGACCTGCTGACCTTTCCTGGTAAGCGAGGCCCAGAGGTACCTAAGGTCACCGTCCAGATTAGCTGAATCGCTAGAGCTACTGAACAACGTCATTAAAGCGCCTCTTCGTCCGCTTCCTTCTTCGCCAGCTCTGGAGGAGGCGTGGCAATCACATCGTCTCCCAGCTCCGCCCACTTGGAACTCACGCGCAGTTTCTTTGAGAGATGTGCTTCCGCAAGCCCATGTTCATATACATATGGCCATATTTCGTGTGCTTTTCTATACGTCTAAGCAAATTGCCCTCCTCTCCCCTGAACCCGATGGCGAGCGGTTGCTGAAGATGTCAGTGGTGGAAGGGCTGCAAGAGTGCATTTGGCCAAACTCGTTCCCCCTTCCACCGGTAGCGTTAGCAGAAGCTGCCTGCTCGCAGCCGTCGTGCTCACTTTCCAAAGATCTGGATAATTGAGATTAATTCTAGTGCCCCTACTCACGTCTCATCTTGAATTTATTAGCTCAGTCGGAGAGTGTCGGAGCTGCTGAAGCGGACAGTAATTACAGGTACATGACTGAACTATAAAAATGACGGGGGACCAATTAACCAATCATAAACTAGTGCTACAGATGCAAACTGAAATTTAGGACTTCTTTAATGGATATCAAATAGCGGTCCATCGAGAAAGGAATTTTACTCATAACAGTCAGTTACACATCATCTGCGGTCATCCCCACATCATTTCATACTTCTTGCAGCAATAATCAGTCATTTCATATGTCCTCCCAAGCTCATATGCACTACCAACCTTTCTTGTCCGAAAACATGTTTTGACAATATTAAAACATGCCAAATAAACATATGGAACTCTGTAGGGGAAAATTTTAGGGAGCACTTTATGTCATGGTATCCTAAATGGTTCGCCATAGGGCGCCTGCGTTCACAACACCGGAAGTTGGAATGAGCATGTCTTCAGTGGCTTAACATTAAATAATGTGCGCGGCCAAATTATTAGGTTTTAAAGAAAGTCTTGTCCTGATGTAATTTTTTTGGTCTCTAGCTGAACAGAACAGGGATTATCCAACAATATAATAATCCATTGTCAACCACTACAGTGCTCAAGCCTGACTGGTAGGTTAGGTATCCCCTTCTCCCAGTATTGGGGATGCTGCGTTTCAAACAAGTCGGTGACCTCTCGACCGATCTCATCGAACTTGCTGACAGTTTTCTTACTAGGGAAGGTCGTCAGGTCGAAGTGGCCATTTGTAATGAGATGTAGCTCACTAGACGTGGTTTTGGACGCTGATCTCGAATCTGCCTTTGAAATTTGCAGAGCGATTCTCTGAACGGAGTTATGGAGCTTTTCCCTCCGCGTTTACCACGCAACAGG